GAGCTTTAGTTGAATAAATAACGGCTAAGCTAAGTAAGCAATAAGCAATAAAAAAGAAAGAATAATCTTATTGAGATTTGAGATTATTTATTGTGGACCCATAAATGAATTAAAGAAAAGGATGAAAAAGTGGCCGAAAGTAGGTGGACGTTGAAGCCAAGTTGGGCGGCTTGTTGAATAAACCAATATGATTGGTTGGTTTGCTGGCAAATTTGCCTATAAATAGAGATTTTTCCTCTCTGTTTAATACACCAAAACAAAGAAAAGCTAAGCAGAAAGCAAAGCAGTGAGAGTAATCACAGATTGTTGTCTGTGAGATAAATAGTGAGTGACAATAATATTGTAGTGAGATGTTTTAAATAAAGAGTGTTATTTCTTTCAAAATTGTAGTAGTCTCTTGACACTACTAAGTTATAATATTATAGTGGTAATATTGCTCCGCTCGGATATTATATTTACCTCGTTAAAAGAGTTGGTATCGTCGTTATTCTCTTGTGTTATTATTATTTTCCGTGGATATTATTTTTGGGCGGGATTAGTATTTTTTTCAATAACGTGGTATCAGAGCCATGGCGAATAATGGTCCGCTATCTTTTCAATACCCCCGTCTCACAAAAGATAATTATGAGAAATTGTGTCTACGTATGAAAGTTATTCTTGGCTCTCAGGATGTATGGGAAATCGTAGACAAAGGGTATTGAAAACCCGATAATGAGGAAGTTCTGCCTCAAAAAGAAAAAGAGGTCTTGGCAAAGACGAGGAAGAAGGATCAACAAGCTTTCACGCTCATCCACCAATGTTTGAATGATGCCATGTTTGAGAAGGTGACAGATGCTACCACCTCAAAGTAAGCTTGGGGATTTTACAAAATTCTCTTCAAGGAGTTGACAAGGTGAGGAATGTAAAACTTCAAACTCTAAGGGCTGATTTTGAAGTTTTAAAAATGAAAGAATCCAAATGCATTTTGGATTATTGTACAAAAGTGAAGGCTGTTGTAAATCAACTAAGAAGATACGGGGAGGACATAGAAGATGTCTGTGTGCTATTGAGGAATCTAAATATTTAGACTCTATGATGGTAGAGCAATTGGAGAGCTCTTTACAGGCCCACGAAGAAAAGATCAAAAGGAGACAATAAGTGCCATTGGAGCAATTTCTTATAACTCAGGCATCCTTCAAGGATTATGGAGGTGAAAACAGCTATCGAGGGAATGGACGGGGACGAGGCCGTGGCGGTCATGTAAGAGGAAGAAGTAACGGTAACAACTTCAATAATGAAGTTAAAATCCACCAGACATTCAGAGGTCGTGGTCGTGGACATAGAGGAGGAGGAGGACGTGGCTACTACTAGAAAATAATGAACAAAGGTATGACAAATCAAAAATTGAGTGTTATAATTGTCATAAATTTGGCCATTACTCTTGGGAATGTCGTTGCAATGTTGAAGAAAAAGTTAACCTTGTTGACGACAAGAAAGAAAAATATGAGTCAACGTTGTTGATGACACTCAAGGAAGAAGACAAGGATGATTGCAGCTCGTGGTATTTGGACAATTGATCAAGCAATCATATGTGTGGATGCAAAGAGAAATTTGTGGAGATTAATAACACGGTGAGAGGTAATGTGTCCTTTGGAGATGCCTCAAAGATTCAAATCAAAGGGATAAGTACGATTCTGATCTTCTGTAAAGATGGTAGTCACAAGCTAATTCAACATGTTTATTATGTGCCAAAATTAAAAAGTAATATTTTGAGTTTGGGCCAACTTCTTGAAAAGGAATATGACATCCACATGAAAAATATACATCTTTGGCTTAGAGATTCAGGTGAAATTCTAATTGCTAAAGTGCATATAGCAAAGAATAGATTATTTTCTCTTAATTTTAAAACAATTGATGCAAAATGTTTGAAGGATAATGTGCAAGATGAATCATGGTGTTGACACATGCGATTTGGGCACTTGAATTTTAAAGCACTCAAATCAATGGGAGAAAATAACATAGTGCATGGGATACCATCAATCAACCATCCCAATCAATTGTGCGAAGCTTGTCTTCTTGAAAAACATGCAAAGAGGAGTTTTCCAAAGGAGGCTATATCAAGATCAACTAAACTGCTTCAGCTTGTTCACACTGATGTGTGTGGACCAATCAATTCACCTTTCTTTGGTAAAAATAAATACTTTCTACTTTTCATTGATGACTTTAGTAGAAAGACTTGAGTTTATTTCTTGAACCAAAAATTTGAAGCTTTTGCTGCTTTTAAAAATTTTAAAGTACTTGTGGAGAAAGAAAGTGGCTATAAAATAAAAACTTTAAGGTCCGATAGAGGAGGAAAATTCACTTCAAAATAATTTAATGACTTCTGTCAGTCTCATGGAATTTGTCGTCCTCTAACGGTACCTTATTCACCCCCAACAAAATGGAGTTGCAGAGAGAGAACGATTCTTAATATAGCTAGATGTATGTTAAAAGTTAAAAATATGCCCAAGAAATTTTTGGCAGAAGCTATATCTTGTGAAGTTTATTTGAACAACAGGTCTCCAACAAAGAATGTTAGAGATCAAACCCCTCAAGAAGCATTGAGTGGAAGAAAGCCAAGTGTCAAGCACTTGAGAATCTTTGCGAGCATAGCGTATGCTCATGTGCCACATCGAGGGAGAGCGAAGCTTGATGATCGAAGTGTCAAGAATATGTTTGTTGGCTATGATACAAGTTCAAAAGGTTACAAGCTATACAACCCAAGTAGCGGCAAGATGGTGTTGAGTCGTGATGTTGAATTTGATGAAGAATTGGCATGGAATTGGGAAGCTCAGGAAGAAACTTCATATGATTTTCTTCCATACTTTGGCGATGAAGAAGAACCAGAGACCATGAAACTTGTGCAGGATACAACTCCACCTCCTTATCCAACCAATGTTGCATCTCCTTCTTCTCAACAAAGTTCAAATGAGCAACCTCAAAGAACAAGGAGCATTCAAGAGCTCTATGATGGCACGAAAGAAGTTACTAATTTTGATTTTTTATATTGTCTCTTTGCTGACAGTGAACCAATAAACTTTGATGAAGCTGTTACAGATAAAAGGTATAGACAAGCCATGGAGGAGGAGATCGAGTCAATAGAGAAGAACAACACTTGGGAGTTAACAACTCTTCCCAAGGGTCATCGTGCAATTGGAGTAAAGTGGGTATACAAGACAAAGAAGAATGCTGATGAAGATGTGGAGAGATACAAAGCATGACTTGTGGCTAATGGCTACAAGCAAAGGAAAGGCATTGACTATGAAGAAGTCTATGCACCTGTTGCCCACATGGAGACGATTCGTTTGCTGATCTCTTTGAGGGGGCAAATGAAGTGGAAGATCCATCAACTAGACGTCAAGTCAGCCTTCTTGAATGGCTATCTTGAAGAAGAAGTCTATGTTGAACAACCATTGGGCTTCGTGGTCAAAAACCATGAAGATAAAGTGTTGTGGTTGAAGAAAGCTTTATATGATTGAAGCAAGCCCCACTAGCATGGAATAGTTGCATCGACAAGTATTTTCAAGACAATGGGTTTACTCGTTGTCTCCATGAATATACTTTTTACCTTAAAGTTCATACTAATGAAGATATCTTGCTTGTTTGTGTTTATGTTGATGATGTATTTTCACGGGTAATAATCCAATTTTGTTTGAAACTTTTAAGAAAGATATGTCCCGTGAGTTCGAGATGACAGACGTAGGGTTCATGTTATACTACCTGGACCTAGAAGTGAAGCAGATGGAGGATGAAATTTTCATCTCTCAAGAAAGCTATACGAAGGAGATCTTGAAGAAGTTCAACATGCTCGATTACAACCCCGTGAACACACCGATAGAGAATGGGACAAAATTGTCCAAGTTTGATGAAGGAGAAAATGTTGATCCCACATTTTTCAAAAGTCTTGCAGGAAGTTTGAGGTACTTGACTTGTACCTGGCCAGATATACTCTTTGCAGTTGGAGTAGTAAGCCGCTTCATGGAAGCTCCTACCTCCACCCATTTGAAAGTCACTAGAAGAATTCTTCGTTACCTAAAAGGTACGATTGATTTTGGGTTATTTTATTCTTCTTCTAGTGATTTCGACCTTATGGGATTTTGTGATAGTGATTATGCGGGAGATATTGATGATAGAAAAAATACAACTGATTTTGTATTTTTCTTGGGTGATACTGTTATTTTTTGGAGTTCAAAAAAATAATCCATTATTACTCTCTCGACTTGTGAAGCTGAATATATAGCAGCAACATTTTGTACATGTCATGCTATTTGGTTGAGAAAATTGTTGAAGGAGCTCAATTTATCACAAATTGAAACTACAGAGATTTGTATTGATAACAAATCCGCACATGCACTCGTGAAGAATCCGGTGTATCATGATCGAAGCAAGCATATAGACACAAGGTATCACTTCATCAGAGAATGCATTGTCAAGAAGGAAGTCGAGCTCAAATATGTGAAGTCTCATTATCAAGTTGCGGATATATTTACAAAGCCTCTCAAGTTCGAAGATTTTCAGAGGTTGAGATCAAGACTTGGAATGACTAAGAAAATTCAAAATTAAGGGGGAGATTTGTGGGACCCATAAATGAAATAAAGAAAAGGATAAAAAAGTGGCAGAAAGCAGGTGGGCGGCTGAAGCCAAGTTGGGCGGCTTGTTGAATGAGCCAATATGATTGGTTGGTTTGTTGGAAAATTTTCCTATAAATAGAGATGCTTCCCTCTCCGTTTAATACACCAAAACAAAGAGAAGTTAAGCAGAAAGCTAAGCAGTGAGAGTAATCCACAGATTGTTGTCTGTGAGATAAATAGTGAGTGGTAGTAATATTGTAGTGAGGTGTTTTAAATAAAGAGTGTTATTTCTTTAAAAATTATAGTAGTCTCTTGACACTGCTAAGTTGTAATATTATAATGGTAATATTGCTCCGCTCGAGTATTATATTTACCTCGTTAAAAGAGTTGGTGTCGTTGTTACTCTTTTATGTTATTATTATTTTCGTGGATATTATTTCTGGGCGGGATTATTATTTTTTTCCAACATTTATGAGCCACAATATTGCAAACTAAAGATTGACTGCCCGGCTTAACAAGAGCAAAATACAGTAGCTAATAAGAGTGAGTAAGTAGAACAGAATCAGAATGAATATACAAGTGAGAGAACCACATGTAGTTATAGCCTAAGCCTAACGTTCACATCTCTAGTTCCACTCTTACACGTTGCTCTGGGTGGTTCTTAGTGGCTGATATACTCGCCGGTTATGGGATAAACGTCAGGCATAGTGAATATGAGTGGATCATGAATAATTTGGAGGCAGTTGAAGACCAAGCAAAACTTCAAACTATAGCTTTATCAATGGATCCCTACAGTCATCTTTGGAGTGCTTTTATCGAGCACTGCTCTTATCTCCCCAGAAAGGAGCTGCCAGATCAAAGATAATTCTCGTGATGGCAAACATCCTATGTTCGTTCATCCCCGCGGCAAAACTTATCCCAAGCAACATGGTGTCTCCATGTGAACTATCCACGTGTCAAGGTAAGATTTTACTAATACAGATAGTCCTTTCATTTTTCGAATAATTCTCGAGAATTATCGAAGAGTAGTATGATCTTTGGCGCGTTCCAAAAGAACTTTTTAGGCAGAATTTACCACGCAACTGTCATCATTTTAAATCTGAAAGGATGTCCAATCACATTCATTTAAATCTTCGGATATGTGGCGGTCTTCAACGGGTTTTGACACCACAGAAATTATCAAGGTCATGATGACCTTGCCTGTAAGACTCGATCCTTTCCTCTCTTCTTACTACTTGAACATCTTATTTGAAATTTTTCCTGCAACTTCACTGTTGTTTCTAAGAAACCTTCAACTTTTTCATTTCTCATTTTTTTCTTCTCTTTTTATCACCATTTCTAATGGCTTTCAAGGTACTTAGTCTGAGCTCATGAAGTGACATTAATCGTCAAGAGCACAACCATTGCTTCTCTACCGGCGATCACTGCAGGTGTGAAGGAGATGATGGTGAAAGAGTCGTTCACACTTACTAGGAAAGGCAGGGCAACCAAATCTACCACGATGGTAAAAGAGGGGTCACCAGCTCCGTCGACGAAGGTAGATTTGTTCAGGCTGCCAGGCCCACAACGGAATTGGTTCCAGTCCCTGCCAAGAAAGGGAAAGGCCGACATAACCTCTGACAAAGGAAAGAAAAAGCACAACGAGCTAAAACTTGTAGAGGTTCTCCCGTAGACAATCAATTTCATTAGTCCATGTGTTCCTTGGAGCAGTGCTCCAAAAAAAGCTTTACTGGAAAAACACCTTCAGCCAATCCTGAAAGACTGTGCCTGGGAACGTAAGGTTCAGATTTTCCTGCCTGAAGAAAATGAGAACATAATCACACATCGAGAGGGTTCCTCATTTGTATTTACTTACCTGTTCACCCTCGGTTTTAAGCTGGCTATCGATCCGATGGTGAAGCATTCTTTTTCAAGGCATACAATATTTGCCTAGGTCAACTTGGACCAGATGTGTAGTGATCAGTGGCATGCTTGAAGTTCCTTGATAAAAAGGCACGAGAAAACTTTACTCTCAAGCATCTCATGTAAATTTACTGCCCCAAGCTTTATAAGGGGTCGATGATAATGTTGGTGAATCGGGGTACCTACACCCTTATTGCCAATGTAGAGGAAAATTTCGACTGTATATGATATGAGAGGTTCGTTAGAGTACCAACCCAAATATTTCAAGCAAAAATGACCTCCCCTTTCTGGAGAAGTGGAATTTCAAATGTAAGTTCTTTCCTTTTTTCTTATTTTTATTTTACCTTTTAGATTAGAATCTTCTAACCTTTATGATGGGCAACCGCTATGGATTCTGCCACTGGTTCACTTTCGGCTCTAGAGGAGTGGGTCGAAATTTTTTTGAAGTCGATGAAGATACAAGTGAGAACGTGGAAAGTGATCTCTGCCATCAAAAGATGAGAGTTTAAAAATTATGGTATGGATTTTTCAACCCCAGAGTACTCTAACTTCTCTTTCTCGTTGAGATTTCTGATACTCCCCTTCTGTTGGTGCAGGCGCCGGATCTAGGAGATCATCATCAACTTGGATCGAGGTCATTGATCTTGTCCAACAGTCATCCTTGCCGAAGAGAAAATCCAGCAAAGAAGGGCGTTCTGCTCCTAAACCAAATAAGCAGACGAAGAGCTTTAAAAGGGGACTCAAGAGAAAGAGGGGGGAGACAATCCTCGGGTCTTGTCTTCAGTAACTCTTTCCCGGCTCGGGGATGATCCCATGCAGATGAACTTATCCTTCCTCTTGCTACTCCTACCATTCTCATCAAGAATAATGACAAGCCAAAATCACCCCCAAAGCGGAGACCCGACAAAGAAAAAAAGATGTCGGATGGAAAACTACGACACTCCTGTTCGAGGGATTAGGTGAGTCAAGTGAGGTCCTTCTAGAGGGGCCTAAACTTAGTTCCGTCGGGTCTGAGGTAGATTCATACTTTAGTTCTTGTCCTAAGATATCCCTATGCTCCGAACCCAAAGATTTTACTATTCCAAAGAGGCAAGTGCTGGTAGAAATACCTTTGTATGTGAACATTTTTTGTAGGCCCAAGAAGATTATTCCATAGTTCAAAGGTTTTATTGGGTCTTTGGAATAAGAATTCATGGTTAGGGATTCGATAAAAGCCCTAGAAAATTATGTAATATAATCTGGTTTGAAAGTGAAGTTCCAAACATCTCTTTTTTTGCCGATTCATGTTATTTTCTCATTTTTCCAATGGCCTATTTTTAGCTCAACCTGACAGCAGCAGAACTGTATGCAAGAATTGCAAAAAGTGATGCTATCTGGCGTGAGCAAGAAAAAGAGATCTAGAGGTTGACAAAAACCCTAGCCAAGAGGGATTCAAAGAAGGAAGCTATGTCCGTAGAGATCAAATAAGCTTTCAAAAATATCCGCTAACTAGAGCGGGAGAATGAGGCTCAAGAGTTAGAGTTTTCATAGAAATTCAGAGAGCTGGATCAGAAAGTGTAGGATCTTGAAGTCATTATCTAGAAGTTTGAGGACCAATATATTAGTCTGGTTGAAGAACGGAGCAAGGCTATCTCCAAGAGGAAGGCCCTGGAGAATTGGTGCTGGGGCTGTCCAATGAGGTAAACGAGCTAAAAGGGGCTCTAAAAATATTTGATATGGAGAGGAACAAATTCTAATCCCAGCGAGTCGATGTTTCCTAGAAGTTGAAGACGACTAGAGATGAGGCAGAAGAGGATAAAAAGTATGCCTACTCGTTGGCTCATCAAAAAGTCCTCTATAAGATTCGTTCTAAGTCCTTGGATGAGGAGATTTTTAAGGTGGATGACATTATTGAGAGGACGAGGCCCACGAGTTCCTCTGCTTCTGATGACTCCGAAGGGTCCGATAATGAAGACGAAAAAGAAAATAAAGACGCGACCTTATTCAACTCGCTGAGTCCCCTGGAACGAGGGTAATGAAGCAAATCCTTCACCTCTAGTTCTCTCAGTTGCACCTTCTTCATCTCTTTCTTCTCTTCCTCTCAAGCACCTTTTCCGAGATCAAGAGACCTATGAAGGTCTTTTTTGTAATGTATTTTCATTTTATATGTATTATGGGCATTTTGAGCTTTTGGTAATAAATGACCTGTTTAATTGTACTTATTATTGTTTGTTTTTGTATATTAAAAGTTATAATTATTGCAGTCTTATAGGTTGATATAACCTAGGTAGTTTTTGGGATGAACTTATCAAATATTTACGAAATTGGTTAAAGTTTCATTTTAGGGCTTTTTACCATTTTCACCGCCTATGAAAAAGACGTCTCCTCTTTATTTTGGGGCATAAGTTATTTGAAAAACATAAGCAAGTCTCCGCCTTTCAAGATTTTTTATACGAGTGTAAGGACTTGAAATATGACCCAAGAACTGGTGCATGAGAGATTTTCTCTTTATAATTTTACAGATATTTAATGTGAACGGGGTCCCCAGACCTAGGCATTTCTTGAGAGAAGCTGTCTTCGGGATAGAGAATCTTAGTTTGGTCCATCCATTTCTAGGGAGATCACTGGTCATAGGTGCCAAATGTGGTCTTCGAACAGTCTCTAGTCACACGACTGCGCATGATCTTCCGAAAAAAAAGAGCTTAGCTTTGTAAAGCTATTTTCATCATGATTTAGCCATCAATCTAGCATGTTACTTAGATACTGATACCATAGTCCCCTTATTTTTCGAGTGGTTCAGAGGAAGTACCCGGGAAGTGGAAAACTCTTAAGATGATAAATCTTGATAAATATCTTGGCAGGAAAGATTGCTCATTTATATCCTCATGATAATGTGATTTTATATGTGATTGACGAGATGTGCACAATCTGTTATCAATGCTTACAGCACGTGGCTAAATATCACAGGCTCTGTTGTCAGTGGAAGTTTCCTATGTAATAATGTTACTTTTAGTGATTGATGTGAGCCTGACCCTTTAGAGTTTTTGGCTTTGATTTTTGCCTATATATACACATAATCAGTACCATCTTTTTATTTTGCTTTCCCCATTTCTTTCTTCCTTACTTGTTGTGTTAGCTTTCTTGCCAAATGCTTTGGATTCACAAGATATTCCTTACTTGTTGTGTGAGCTTTCTTGCCAAGTTCTATGAATTCACAAGACATTTATCATGTCGCTGCTGCCGCCTTACTTCCTCAGGCAATGTAGCCTTTTGGTGGGGCGGTTGAAATATTATTCAGGGCAAGAGGAAGAAGTTAGCAACAACTTCTTCTAGTAAACGGGCAAAGACAAAGGTTAAACCAACCGTTTTAGATGTCTTGTTAAAGCAGGGTAATACTAGCACAAACAGAGGCATGTGGAGTAGCACGACGTTCCTTGTAAAGGCCCAAGCTTCTCTTGTGCGACCAGACTTGTAACGACCAAACATCCCACCAATATCGTGATGACACCTAACCCAACCCGCTAGGTAAGCCAAATAGTATAATCTACAATTATAATGAGATAAATAAAAATTGCAAAAGAATACAGTAAAACTACCCCAAGGACTGGTGGTACAAGTCACGAGCCACTATAATTTAGATTTACAAAGTTGGTAAAGGAATTGAATGCAATATCTGTTTGAAGGTTACATAAACAGAAATGAGGTCCTAGTCTACCATGAGCAAATGGTAGCTCGAATCAGGAACACTGGTACGTCTTCTATGCAAAGCTCCGTCTTCCATAACTACTCAACTCCAGAATCTGCACGCAAGGTACAAAAGTTTAGTATGAGTACAACCGACCCCATGTACTTAGTAATTATCTTGATTAACCTCAGAGAAGTAGTGACGAGGTTTTTAAGTGGAAAGATACTCACTAGTCAAATAACTTGTACAATATATCAAAGACTGGCAACAAGAAGTATAGCAGAAAACAATAACTATAATCTCATCAGAATAAGTGATAACATTTTAATACAAGTAAAGGTCAGCTTCAACAACAAGTCATTAAATGGAATAGCACACATATGGCACCTCGTACCTACATTATCAATCACCCTCGCATGTCAAGGACCTCGTGCCACAACATATGTCACACCCGCACGCCAAGGACCTCGTGCCACAACATATGTCACACCCGCACGCCAAGGACCTCGTGCCACAATATAAATTACACTTGCACGGTAAAGACCACGTGCCACATTATAATCCGATTCTGTATTTCAAGAAAGAGATAACCCAGCTAGTTGTATTGATAGATGAACCCTTCCACTCCAATTTAGGCAACTCTAGCATTGCCAAGGTAACAATCTTGGCATAGCAATCTAGAACAACATGGTATAGAGACAACCAGTCTATTCCTAGGATGACTTCAAAGTCGGTTATGTCGATCAACAGAAGATCCACTATTGTCTCATAACCACAAAAAATCACAATACCAGACCAGTAAACCTGATCCACAACAACATAATCACTTATTGGCGTGGACACATATATAGGAGCACCTAAGGACTCACGAGAGATCCAAATAATGAGAAAATAGAGAAGTAATATATGAATATGTAAACCCTGGATCAAATAATACCGAAGCATCCCTACTATAGACAGAAATAATACATGTGATCATGGTGTCTGAGGCTATTGCATCTAGTTTGGCTGGAAAGGCATAGAACCTAGATGGAGCGCTACCTAGCTAGCCTCGACCTCTAGCGCGACCCCTACCCACCCGCCCTCNGGTGATCGCCCTGTTGTACTTCGTTGCTCCGAAGTTTGGGGAAAAACCTCCTTATATGACCAAGAACCCCACACTTATAGCAACCTCTCGGTGCGGAAGATGACTAACCCTAGGTCTCACCCTGGGGAACTAAATACCCACTGGAAGAACCCTGAATAGCTGGTGGATGGTAGGAGCTCTCTGGAATGGTGCTGAAATAGGGCCATAATGGAGCACCCCCAGAAGGCGGTGCTGCTGAATATGTGGGCCTGCTAGACTGGCTCCTTACAAACAGACCTCTGCCCCTAGATGGAGCACCATTGATTCCTCCAGAATATCGAGGCCTCTTGTCCCTCGGTGCATGCTCTCGTCTCTACTGACAAATACCCTCGATCCTCCGAGCTATCTCCATAACCTCCTCGTAAGGGATCCCCATCTTAATCTCTTGGGCCATAGTAACCTGGATACAATAGTGCAAGCCCACAATAAACCTCCACACTCTATCTGCATTGGTGGGGAATATTATAAGCGCATGACGAGACAACTAAGAGAATCTCACCTCATAATCGGTCATAAACATCTAACCTTGTTGGAGCAGCTCCAACTGACCCCGTAGCTCTTCCCTCTGAGAGGGTGGAATATATATTTCTAGGAAGAGATGTGTGAACTTGTCCTAAGTCAATGGAGACAAACCTGCAGTCTTCTACAAAGATAGGACTACCACTATCTACGGGCCCTGCCCTCCAACTGAAATGTGGTGAATTCCACCATGTTGGACTCCAATTCTCTCATGTTGTCAGCCTATCGCTGCAATGATCAATAAAGTCCTATGGATCCTCATGTCACTCACTACCAAAGGCAGGATGATTAGCCTGGTCCATGTATCCAACAACTTCTATTGCTTGACGTCGTGACTAGTCTAGGCTCTCCATTACGCTACCAATAACTCAACGGAATATGAGAAAGCAACTCCATGTAGGTAAATCTATCTTGGCAACCAAATCATCAAGTAATAACGGAGGCATAGATTAGCATGTTAGGAATAACACAACAAATCATGTAAAAATTCATGACACACATAAAGAAGTCATAAGTACAAACAAGAATGCCCCTATTGCACCACCACACAAACATAATCAATGAAATCTCCCCCAGGCTATCACATAACATCCCCACTGTTGCACCTTATTTTGCACTAGTCAAAATAAGATTCAACTTGTGGTTTCTCTGTTGTTGATTAAAGAGGGTTGCCACCTAATATTTAAAGGTATACTAGGGTACCTATTTAATTACTAAAGCCATATTCTTTATTGGTCTGCTAACCGTTGAGATTTTGGGTAAGAATTTTTATTCTTCTAAGGGGAAGGTGTTAGGAACCCCTTAAAATCTATCTGAGGTAGCTCCATAGGACTTAGACTAGGTTAAAGGGTTAGTTATTTGTATTATGCTTAAACTAGTATTAAAGAGGCGGCATACTATGTATCCATTTGCGAAGACTTAATACTTGAGACGAGGGTGTGTGGTTTTAGAAGACATAGGTTTAGAAAAGCTTTCGAAGATAATGTTATATATACATATGATTGAAACATAATGTTTGTATTTGTAAAAATATGAGATGGGATTAACTTGTAAACATTTTTAATGATTATGGCTATTTATGTAACTATAGTGAAAATATTGTGAAGGAATAGGTTAATATATATACCTTGGTTTTCAAATTCATTTCTTTGAAGAAAATTGCTAGAAGTTCCTTTAAACTGGGCGACAATATTTGTTCAATTTTGTGGATAAGCGCAGCTTAAAAGACCGATTTTAGATTCCACTGCAGGTTTTTGAAAAGAGAGGATTATTGCCTTTGCTAAAGCTGTTTTCTTCCCAAAAGACTTCATAAAATCGTTAGTAAAGATTAGTATAATCAATGTATAATTAACAAATTAAGGCTATCTATTACTAAGATATTTCTTTTAATCCTACATCCTTTAAGACTTGCCTAGATTGTCTACTTGATTCAACGAGGTAAAGTAAAGCATTCAATCAAATATAATAATTGTTGTATACATGTGAGAGATAAGGACAACAAAATGCAGCAAAGAAAGTGAAGCAGTAAAGCAGTAAAGCAGTAAAGAGAAAGGATGGACTCTGGTTTTGGGCCTAAAAGAGGCAGGCCCAGCAGATAGCAGAAACAAACAACAACTGACTTCACACTTTCCAAAATGCAATAACGCGAGGGTTGGGCCTGAGTTCCTTGAGAAATCAGCAGGCCCAACAATTGTACATGTTCAAAAGGAAACGAGAAAGTAATTAGAAAACAATACTTTATACATGGGTCCATACATGAAATATGCGAGCAAATGGCTTAAATAAAATATAGCAATTTAACAATACCTAAATATTATGAAGGGTCATACTCATGTGGTGGTTATGTATAGTAAAATGATTTCCAATGAAAATTTTCCGTTGTCATTAA